TAATAATAATAATAATAATAATAATAATAATAATAATAATATTAATAATAATAATCAACAGCCACAAATCAAAAACTAATTTAAATCTACAAAAAAGAAAGAAAAACAAGCAAAGTATTTGTTTTTGGTTATTATTCAAACTACGGAATTAACAAAAATCACTTTAGCCTTATATACAACAACAAATACAAACAAAAACAACAAAAAACTAGAATATTACCGTAAGAAATTGCATGCTGGGAGAGTAGAAGAAAAGAGAAGAAGAAAAATTAAACTGGATACGGTCTAAGTAAAATAATATAAAGGGTGATAACGACTAAACACTCCAACTCCAGCACAGAGCGAATATCACAAAAATTGCCTGCCAATTCTTTCGCTCTCTCGAGAACGTCAATAAAGAGGAAACACATAAAATACGGTGGACAGGTAAACAGGAAGTGGCGAAAAAAATCTTAAAATACGGCAACGCTGGCAACATTGACAACAGCTGCAGCGAATTATTACAGTAACTACAAGACACAGCCACCACATTCAGCATTCAGAGCGATAGTTGTTAGCGTCGAGTGCCGTTAAACCTGCTGCCGCCGCCGCAGCCGCTGCCAGACATAAGCAGCAGCAGCGCAGCAGTGGGCAGCGATGAGTACCCAGCAGGAACAACAGTAGTGACGTTACCCCAACTGCCTAAGAAATCGCTACTGTGAGACTGCAAGAGACACAGAGTGTCTGGAGAGAGGAGAGTAAGGGAGTGCAGCTGTTATAGGAGAGAAAAAGTAGGTTTTCACAAGTGTAAGCAGCGGAGGTGGGGGGTAGCAACCTAATGCAAAACAATATGGTGAGCATACCAGCGGCCAATTTGAACGGTGGCCTCAAGGCATCCAACGGCAGCGGCACCGTCGTTGGCGTCGGCGTCGCCGGAACAGTGCTGGCCAATGGGCAGCGCGTATTCCTAACGCCCGCGTCCAGCTATCATTTAGCCGCACGGCAAGCAACGGTCAGCGGGTCTGTGACCTCTAGCATGGGCATGGGCATGGTGTCCACGTCCAAAGGCGCCAGCAGCAGCAGTCTCGGCGGTGTCGGCGGTGGCAGCAACGCGACTGTGGCATCATCGACGAGCACGACGGCGGGTACTGTGCGCTATTTCTCGCAGTTTAGCAAGCTGCAGCCGGTGCAGCAACTGCAGAACAGTGCTGGGCAACTAAAGCTGCTCAATGGCGATACGATGGTGTTAGTCAACGGCACGAAACCGCTCATCTTCGCCAGTCCCAATAGCAAGTTGCTGACAACAACAACGGCAACAACAATAAGTGCATCATCAGCAGAGGCAACAACTACGGCAACTGCAACAACAACCGCAGCAACAACAACAGTTCCTAATGGTAACAGGGTGTTAATGAACAAGCAGCAACAACTACAGATACAACAACAACAACAACAACAGCCAGCGACTGTGATTGATGAGGCGCAGCATGGGGAGCCGCAGCTGGAAGATGACGGCGATATAATCCAGATCAAGCAGGAGGATGGTCAGCAACCACAACAGCAACAGCAGGGTGATCCAATGGCCGCCAGCAAAGCCACCGATCCGGATGCCGAGCCGGAGCTGGATATAGTGATTAACAATGTGGTGTGCTCTTTCAGTGTGCGTTGCCATCTAAAGCTGCGGGAGATCGCGCTGAATGGTTCCAATGTGGAGTATAGGCGGGAGAACGGAATGGTCACCATGAAGCTGCGTCGTCCCTATACAACGGCCTCCATTTGGTCATCTGGCCGAATTACGTGTACGGGCGCCACCTCTGAGTCGCAGGTAAGGCATCCTCTCAAGATTACATTCAGCCAGGAACTTACTATAATATGATTGCAGGCCAAGATCGCAGCTCGGCGCTATGCGCGCTGCCTAAGCAAACTCGGATTCCCGACCCACTTTCAGAACTTTCGCATTGTGAATGTACTCGGCACCTGCAGCATGCCCTGGGCTATCAAGATAGTCAATTTTTCGGAGCGCCATCGCGACAATGCCAGCTATGAGCCGGAACTGCATCCGGGCGTGACGTACAAGATGCGCGAGCCCAAGGCCACGCTTAAGATCTTCTCCACGGGCAGCATAACGGTAACAGGTAAGTGGATGAAATGGCAACTGGTTGATAGAGGAGGAACAGGAGTGACTCCTATATTATAATTCGTATACATATATGAAAATCAGAATATTCAGTTGTTGAATCTCACTTTTCCATATACCGCCAGCCGCCAGCGTGAACGACGTCGAATCCGCCATACAGCATATATATCCCTTGGTGCACGAGTTCCGAAAGCAGCGCTCTGCAGAGGAGTTGCAGCAACTGCGTCAAAAGAATCGTGCCGGCGAGGAGCTCAGCGAACAGGAGCAGCAGCTGGCATCGGAGGGCAAGAGCCAGGACAAGGATGATGAGTTTTTGAACCCCAGCGCAACACACTCGGAGGCCGGCAGCACCCTCTACTCAAGTTCCCCGTATGCGACCCGTCGCACAGAGCAGGTAACCAGCAGCAGCACCAGCAGTGGCGGTGACAACATTTGTGCTAACGCACGTCGCCGGGCTACCGAGTGCTGGGCCACCAAGCTGCAGAACAAACGCCCGCGCTACAACGATCCGGGGTCGACGACAACCGCCTCCGCCGGTCACATGGGTCGCGCTGGGAGCAGCACCGTCGTCAGCGGCAGCTACAGCGCCAACTTCAGTGCCATTGGAGTGGCGGGCGGCTCTGCCGCCTCTGCGACGACGGGGCAGCTGCGCTTGGGCAAGCCTCTCGTGCCCGTCGATGTGGTTCTGAAGCAGAGCAGCTCGCGGGCGCGTAACGCGGCAATAGGCGTCACTGCTGGCGACAATGGGTTCTATACCAAGCGCGAGACATTCTCCCCAACGGACTTCCAAGTGGACGATCTGATTGAGGAGGATGACGACGAACTGGGCATGCACTTTTAGGAGCATCAAGTGGAACCAACGGAGCCAGGCAAACGAGTGGAATTTGCTAAGTCAGTCAGAAGTTGCCCATGGCAAATTTATCGACGAGTTTTACGAAGGAGACACGTGAAGAAACGAGCAAAGCATGCAAGCACTCACACAGAGATATACCCACTAACTGAGACATAGAACCTACACATAGACGCATGTTATGGATTTCTTATGTGCTCTGTAAATGCATTTAACATAATAATGTTGACAGACAGCATCAACAACAACAACAACAACAGCAACACATACATACATATGTACATGTATTCACATAGAGTCGGTGTGCAAGCGTAATGAGCAACTGCAGCAGCATCAGCATCAATAAACAAAGGACGGCGAATTCAAAATCCAAATCAAATATTTACTATAACAAAAACAAAAACGAAAAAAACAAGAGCCAAATATTTATATTTAAGGTGAGTCAAATTTAATCCATGATATAAACTCATTTATTAAGATGTATTTGCGGTCTATATGAATATTGCTCTCATGTCTAACAGCAACTGAGTCATTTAATCGATACGTCATAAAGTAACGCGTAAATACATACATAGTGATTGAGTCATTTTGATGTTGAGTTACGTATCTTTGTAGTTATTTTGGGCTTTTATCTTACAAATAACCGTCTTGTATTTTCTTTGCAGATTACGTTTAGACAGAGCAATGTACGTAGTTGACATTTGACGTACAGCGAGACTACAGACGCGGCGATTAAATTGATCAGCTTCTGCGAGATGGTATAAATTAATTTTACCATATGCATGTTCACATACACACATATATAGACTAAATGTAACAAATATCAGCAAATGTGTGCGACACACATACGTATAAATAAATACATATGTCATTTACATATACGTATTGAAACCCTCAATAACTGCAATTACGATGATAATCTGCAACAGCGACTCGAACTCAATGGAACAAGTGAAACTGGAACTTAAGCAACTATTACACACAAACAAACTGATTAGGTCGACACAAAAAGTCGATTGCTTCGCGATACCAATCCGTATTGTAAATTCATATGTAATTACGTATGCCAGCAAACCACCGCCTAATAAATACTGTTACTACAAAATTAACAAAAGCAAAAACAAAAACACTATGGAATAACTTTAGTCCTACGATTTTTATTAAGTTGATGATTAATGGAACTTTTTAATCCTTTGCTGCATAGCCGCTGTTACGGTTAACAATAAATACAAAAGCAAAAGCAAATGTAATGCGGATGTTACGTCATATGTAATTCGGCAGCCGGCATTGCACATAACGAATCCCAAGAAAAACAAAAAATAAACTTTTAACTGGAACTTTTTTTTTTTTTTTTTAATTCGATTATTTTGTCAATAGCTATATATTTTATGAAATGATAAAAGCAACGTTTAAGATTATAGAAATTTCAAGTTCTTGAGAGACAACAAATAGTTTTGGTTCAACATAAATGTAGTGCTTTATTATTATTGTAAGGGATTATTTTACTTTTTTTTTCTGTTTTTCATCATACGTTAAGTTATATTTGGTTAGTAATTCAAAGTTAAGCAAATATATAGAAAATATGTATAATTTATACATACATATATACATACTACACTTATATCTGGTCACTTGTAAACCAATAACAAAAAGTACGCTAAATATGCTAAAACAAATTACATTTAATTCATTAAATTTACACTTTATACATTGCATATGTGGAAAGGGCAGGCAAACATATTTTATATACATCCAATTTGTCTACTGTCCGTTCATTCCATGAGAAAACAGAATCTTACGAGTGTCAACATATTAATATTTCTTTTTTTTCATAATTTTTAAGATTTAAACTTGTTCCTGTGTTGTTAAAATGAAAATGAAGCAAAACAAAAATGTAGTCTATAAATTTAATGTATTTAACATGCGTTCCCGCGCGCATTTTCACACACCCACACACACACACACGCAAAATAACATGCACCAACAAGCATAACACAAAATCATAAGCAATAAATATTGTACATTTGACATGTAGAAAACAAATTGATATGTAAAAGAAAGTAAAGAGCAAGAATGAATGAAGCAAAGAATGAAGAATGCATGCCTATTTATATACGCATATGTATGCGTAATCTACAGTTAATTATCAGCACCAGAAAGTAAAGGGATATGATACGAAGCGAAAGTGTAATCAAAGGCGGAGAGAGAGAGAGAGAGAGAGAGAGAGAGAGAGAGAGAGAGAGAGAGAGA